GCTGCGGGCCGCGACCTGTGGGTCGGGAGAGAGGAGGCTTCGTTTCTATGAAATACAACCAATTAAGACTTTTTCATTAATGGAAGGCTGTAGTAGAGGGCGGGGCTTGGGTTTTCTTCGGAAATGGGTCATTTGGCAAACTTTTTCTTCCGTTCATTTCCGATTTTTATAACGGAAAATTGGGTAATTATTGTTTTCTGCCATAGAGGGAAAGAATAAAAAGAATTCCGCCATTTTGGCGTTTTAAAAAGTAATCGTTCTGCGAGGCTCACGGATCAGTGACCGCCCGGGCCGCCGCCGTCTCTACTAATCCCGGGAGGACTCGGATGGAAGGCGGGGATGGAAGGCGGGCGACGGCTCCCTCCGTGTGTGTGTGTGTGTGTGTGTGTGTGTGTGTGTCTGTCTAGGGAGGCTCTTAACTCCCAACCCCCAACGCCTAGACCGAGGGCATTTATTGAGCGTGTTGTATACGAGGAGGCCTTGCAAGGCAAAATGTGGGGAAAACTTGGCCGACAGAGAGACCAAGAAAAAATACACACAGCACATTTACTCAGTAAGTATTTCTTGAGCATCTGCTATGTGCCAGACACAGCTGTGCGCTGGGGATCCAACGATTGTTTTAGGTCAGGTTCCCTGGAAACAGGCTCTGAGCGGGAGGCTTGAGTATAGGTTTATTGGGGAGCCCTTGGAAATATCACCCCTACAGGAGGGTGATTGGGCAAAGAAGCTGAACTGCCTGTGTAGTCTCAACAGAGGCCTCAGCCTGTCCCAAGGGAAGCTCTGGGGCTGAGATGGCCTTGCAAAGGTGTCCCAAATTGAGTCAAGGGGGCCGGGCCTTTATAACTGGTATCAACTGGTCAACTGGATAGCCGCTTCCAGGAGAGGGCGCTTGGCGGGGCAGCTGCCTTGGCTGAGGGCAATTCCCAGAGAAGCTGACAGCTGAAGGCTATCAGTGATGGCTTTCACAGTAGCTGGGACCTCCCACTTTCTCCCCTCCTCCCCCGGCCTCTGAGCAGCACAGAAGGAGGAAATAGTATTCTAGTCCCTAAGGCAAGAATGGCTAAGCCATTTATGTATTTCAGTACCATTTGTTTCTTATATTATTGACCAGCCTTTACTTCCACCGCTGTGACTCATTCACTCGGTGACTGTTTGTGGAGTGCAATCTCTGGATCAAGTTCTCTGCACACCAGGTCCTTCGTTCTGGGTCTGGTGGAGACGGAGAAGTTAATGCATAGATTGTGGTGGAGTGGGACACAGGAGAGAGGGTGATTAACTTTGTTTTGGGGGTGGACTCTGGGAGTCACTCGAGCTGCATCTTGAAGGATGATTAGGAATTTTCCAGAAAGATGGGAAAGGCACCAAGCAGAAGGAACAGCAGGTGCAGAAGCCACAGAAGTGAGGTTCTGAATGTGTGACCCAACTGCAGGGGTAGGAGTGGACGGATTCCTTGCACCTGGCTCAGGCCTGGGAGCCGCATCAGACCAGTTGTGCTGCTGTGTGGATCTAGTGGGGCGTTGCTTATGAACATGTTGTGTAAGCTTCAAATATAGAGGTGGTAGCGGAAAGGAGGGGTGAATTCAAGTAATAGAGAAGGCAGTTCCAGGCTTCAGAAAAGCTAATGGTCTAGTTAGGGAAAAAGACCATAGAAATAGTAGGTGCTGCTAGCCAAGAGCCCACAACCACATGCAATGGGTCCCAACACACAGGTACACAGGGTGATCCTCTCCTTCCTGCACATGCAAGGGCTTGTCTTCTAGAATTATTCTTTTTCTCCTATACTGTTCATTTCTTCTTCTGTAGGTTCATTTTCATCAGCTACAAACCTGCTGTAACATTTCCCATTTTTAAAAGCAAAACAAACAAACAAACAAACAAGCAAAAAACTCTTCCTTGAGACCACATCACTCTCCAAATACCATTTCCATGCTCTCCTTCACATTCCAACCCCTTGAAAGAGTTATTAGACACATTGTCTCTATTTTCCTACAGGACCAATCCTTATTGTCAGTTTCCCCACTAGACTGTAGATTCTGTGGCAGAGGTGTCTGTTTTGTTCACTGATAAATCTGCATTGCCTAGAAGAGTGTCTGGCACATAGTAGGTGCTCAATAAATATTGAACTGATCAACGATTTCTTGTTTTGTTTTGTTGTATTTTCTTTTTCATAAAAAAATTTCTCTTTAAAACCCACTCCGTCCAGGTTTTCGTGTCCATAGCTCTTTGAAGTGGCTCTTGCGGTTTCTGATGACCTCCTTATTGCTAAAATGGCCAGCTCTTAGCCTGCATCTGACTGATCTGGCAGTGGCATCCAACACCACTGAGCAGTCCCACCTTCCTGAAAAATTGCCTCCTGTGTCCTCCAGAAGCCCAGACTCTTCTGCATCCCTTCTCACCACATTGCAGATTCCTTCTAAGTCTCTTTTGCTAGATCATCCACTTCCCATCCTATAAATCTTGGCTTGCTCCAAGGTTCCCACCTTTTTCTTTATTCTCAGTCCTAAGGTTTTCAAGGCCATTTCTTCATGACGATTTTCAAATGTTATCCCCAGCCTCAACTTTATCCCTTATTTCTAGAATATATGCTTCATGAGAGCACTTAGTCTTATTGGAGATTGTGTTCCCAGAGCACAGAATGGTGCTGACACCTCGCTGGCCCTGCAGTGTGTGCTGGAGAAAAGGCAGCAAACCTGAGCAGAAGGGCAGTCCTCTCAGTCCCTCCCCTGGATAGACCTGAAACATGTGATAGGTTGGAAACAGAATGGGATTCTTTCAAGAGTAACCACAGTCACTCTGAATGACTGACAATGTTTTGCATAAACAGGTTGACTCTATTGAAAAGAACTTAAATGGTACAGATAGTATGTCAGCTGTGCGAAGCAAAATAATTGGAAGTGAAATTCAGGGAATTGTATTTTATAAGTGTAAAAGGGGAAACAGACCTTGGTTTGAATGTTGCCTTAATTAATCAGGTTACGTATCTTGCCTTTGCCTACCTGAGCATACACTCTATAATATGGAGGATGGGCTCTATTTTAGGAAGGAAATGCTGGAAAATAAACAAATTCAAAAGAACATCAGGAGGGAGGGTGGGAGAGACAGCAACCACTGTAAGCTGATTTTGCAAGCAAGCAGCTTACATGTTATTAGCCAGAAGCTACCAAGTTCCCTGGAATTTCTGTTAAAAGGAAGTGGATTGGTATTTTTTGTGTGTGTGTGATATATATATATAGAATGTGTGCCAGGCACCATTCTAAGTGCCAGGGATATAGAAGTGAACAAGACAGATAACATCTTTCCCCTCATGGAGCTTACATTTATATGGAGATGACTGATCAAACATAAAGATGTAAATGAAGATCATTATTGATAATAATGAAGGAAATAAACACAGTAATGAGATAAGCAGTAAAAAAGGATGAGGGGTGGGCTGCTACTTTGAGAGGTTAGGAAAGACCTCTTCTGATGAGGTGACTACTGAACTGAAGCCTGGAGGACGGGAAGAAGGCAGCCAAGCAGACAGCTTTGGGAAGAGCATTCCGGGTAGAGGGAACAGCCAGGGCACAGGCTCTGAAGTGGTATGTCAAGCAATAGAAGGAAACCAGAGCCCGTCCAGGGTGGAGAACACAGGGAAGAGGGTGGGGGATGAGGGTGGAGAGGAAGACGGGTTAGATTCTATAGGGTAAAGCGTTTTGATTTTGTTTTAAGGGCAGTGAAGAGCCATTGAAGAATTTTGGATAATAAATAATGTTATCTACACTTTAAAAGCTCTCTCTTACTGGAGAATAGACTACAGGGGGACAGGAGAGAAAGAACAGGTAATGGGTTAGGAGGCAGTTTCTAAAACCAAGGAGAGCTGATGGTGGTTGGGACTAGCATGGTGACAATGGACATGGAGAGAAATGGTCAGACTTTGAGGTGTGGTTTGAAGACTGAGCCAACAGGCAATGAAAATATGTATAAAGTTGTGCTTTTCAATACAATAACTATGGCCACTTATTTAAATTCAATTTAAATTAAATAAGATTAAAAATTCTATTTCTCAAGTCACACTTTTCAAGTGCCCAGTAACCACATGTAACTAGTGCCTACTGTGTTGGACATTCCATCATCACAGAATATTCTACCGAACAGTGTTGGTAAGACAACCAGGACAGTGGCTAACACATTTTAGGAGTTAAGTAATGATTAATATTAAGTATGTTTATGTCACTAAGTCTTTTGTTCCCCTATATTTACCTGTTCAACCATCTCTTTATGTTCTTTAAATATATTTTTATTGATTCCAGAGAGGAAGGGAGAAAGAGAGATGGAAACATTAATGATGAGAGAAAATCATCGATCGACTGCCTCCTGCATGTCCCCCACTGGGGATCAAGCCCACAACTGGGGCATGTACCCTGATGGGAACTCAACAGGCAACCTTTTTGGGTACATGGGATGACACCCAACCAACTGAGCATTACTGGCCGGGGCTATTCAACAAATGTCTGAGTGTCCACTGTGCTTGGAGAGGGCGTGGTGGACAGGTGGCATAAAAGAACATGATCAGGCAAGACCACCTCCTGGGGAAATGGACCTGTACAAATGAGGGAGAACCTGGTGCTTGAGGGCTCCAAGACCCCAGATGGAGAAGGGAGTGATTCTATTGGGGATGGAGGTGGGGGGTTGAGAAAGATGGAGTTTGGACTAGGTCTGGGCTCTGTCATGAAGACAGAACCTTGGCCTGAGACATGGTCCCCAGAGTCAGTTCTGTATGTCACAGTTTACAAAGCACCCTCACACATGCCCATCTTACGACGAGGGGAAGTGCAGGGCCTGGCCAGAGCCCTCACCGGGTCACCTGGTTACAGCCAGGAGTCAGACTTAACGTTATGTTCCTAAAACACCCTACTCCCCTCGGGCTCACACTTTTCTCTGAGGGTGGGCCTCCCTGATCACCCTGGGGGCTGTGTTCTGGTTGTAGGCCTACCAGGATGGAGGGGCATGCTGAAATGGAGATGCTGAGAACCCTGAAGGGGCCCTCTACAGGGGAGGTCAGCGTGCACCTGGTGGCCAGGGGCAGCCCAGGTTCTGGCCCTCACCTGCCCACTACTGCCTTCATCATTCCAGGTGGGCCAAGCCAGGGGTCTTGGGAGGAGGAGCATCCCCATGCCTGCCCAAGCAGGTGTGGATCCCGGGGAGGAGATGGTACTTTCACCTGCCTACACATGCATGGCGGTTTTGGGGTCGAGCCACCAGGCTCACCTGTGTCGGGTCTGACTGGGTGTCTGTTCACAGCCAGCTCTGCCACCCTTGGCCTGCCCAGCAGTTCCCTGGATGTGCCCTGCTTTCCACGGGAGCCGATCCATGTGGGCGCCCCGCAGCGAGTGCCCGGCAGCGTACCTGTCATGGCCACCGTTCTGCCGCAGTTGAGCGCAGGGCCGGCCCCCGGCCCCGCCTCCTGGGGGCGGCCTACGGGTCAGTGTCTCTGGGGATTGGCGGGGTCCAGCCTCAGCTGCGGTGGGGCTTGCGGGACCAGAGGTGGAAAGCGGGGGAGTTGGCGGGGATGTAGGCTCCGTGGGTGGGGCTTTGAGTGAGGGACTGGGGGCTCGGCTTGGAGTCACGAGGGGTTCTAGAGACGTGGGGAGTGGGGCGTGGCCTGGGAGGGGCGTGGCCCAGCGGGTATGCTGGGGGCGTGGCTTGGGTGAGGCGGTGGGAGAGGGACCGTGAGACTGGAGGTGGGTCCAGGGCCGGGACCGAATCACCGAGTCACCGTCCTGAGAGCCTACCGCGCTCCAGTGCCGGCTACCGGAGTACGCGCCACGGAACATGGTGGGAGCCGAGCAGCCCCCGAGCCCCGAGCTGCCCCGGGAA